CTCTATCAATATTTTATGTAAACATGTGTTCAATAGGTTGGCAACAAGAGGACAATTGTCTCGTCTGACCTTCAAAGAATAATCATAATTAATATTGCCACTCCCTCCCTCTCTCTCTCTCTCTCTTACTGTTTCTAATCCTTTGCAGTCCATTTTGTCATAATTCTCAGGAGTAGAGAAACACAAACCAGCGTAACGCTTCTTATTAATTAATAAATAAGGATAATAAACCTATTAATAATAATAATAATAATAATAATAATAATAAATATGTACAGTGTACATGAAGTCTCTACTTCTACCCCCAATTTTTATTACATTTTCTGATACATATTGATGTCCTTATGCTGTGTAGAAAGTTTGAACTGATTCCGACTTCAATTTTTCAAGTTACGACCATTTTAAGAAAATGTCAAAATTCTGAAAAAATCCCTGTACTATAGCCCATGGTTTTTTCCAAAAAATGGCTCCCCCAATTTTTAATACATTTTCTGATACATATTGATGTCCTTATGCTGTGTAGAAAGTTTGAACTGATTCCGACTTCAATTTTTCAAGTTACGGCCATTTTAAGAAAACGGCAAAATTCTGAAAAAATGGTTTTTTCCAAAAAATGGCTCCGAAATCACCCCCAATTATTATTAAATTTTCTGATACATATTGATGCCCTTATGCTGTGTAGAAAGTTTGAAGTGATTCCGACTTCAATTTTTCAAGTTACGGCCATTTTAAGAAAACAGCAAAATTCTGAAAAAATCCCTGTACTATTATAGCCCATGGTTTTTTCCAAAAAATGGCTCTGAAATCACCCCCAATTTTTATTACATTTTCTGATACATATTGATGTCCTTATGCTGTGTAGAAAGTTTGAACTGATTCCGACTTCAATTTTTCAAGTTACGACCATTTTAAGAAAATGTCAAAATTCTGAAAAAATCCCTGTACTATAGCCCATGGTTTTTTCCAAAAAATGGCTCTGAAATCACACCAAATTTTTATTACATTTTCTGATACATATTGATGTCCTTATGCTGTGTAGAAAGTTTGAGCCGATTCTGATTTCAATTTTTCAAGTTACGGCCATTTTAAGAAAACGGCAAAATTCTGAAAAAATCCCTGTACTATAGCCCATGGTTTTTTCCAAAAAATGGCTCCGAAATCACCCCCAATTATTATTAAATTTTCTGATACATATTGATGCCCTTATGCTGTGTAGAAAGTTTGAAGTGATTCCGACTTCAATTTTTCAAGTTACGGCCATTTATAAAGAAGCACCAAAATTCTGAATGTGCATGCACTTAAGTTTGAGTGCTGATATTGTTGTTGTATTTATTATTATATTCTATCCATACAGCACTGGTGGTTCTCCGCAGCAGTTTCTTGTTAAAGTCCCTATCATGTTGCACAAGTTTTCAGAGAAGGTCACTATGGATAGTCCGACCTTCTTTTCACGTTGGAAGCAGCTGGCAAAGTAAGCGAAGAAACATCAATTCATTAACTCTCTTCCTCCTCCTCCTTTAGTCCTGCCCAAGAAAGTCAAAAAATATTCACTACCACACAACCAATGGACAAAGAAACAGCCTCTACCAAAGTAACTAAATTGATTATTATTCATCCTCTCACTCCCTCTCTCTCTCTCTCTCTCTCTCTCACTCTCTCTCTCTCTCACTCTCTCTCTCTCTCTCTCTCTCTCTCTCACTCTCTCTCTCTCTCTCTCTCTCTCTCTCTCTCTCTCTCTCTCTCTCTCACTCTCTCTCTCTCCCTCCAGCTGACTGGATTTGGTTTCTCAGTGCTAGAAGGAATTGATCCTAATCCTGATAATTTTGTGAGTGCCTGTATTGTGAAGACGAAGAAGGTTTTGGTTGGTTGCTTGCTGCGTCTTGAGCCAAACCATCAGACAAAAGTATGACATCATCATTAGACACACCCACAAATTAAGGAGCAATTATATTTTGTGAATTAATTTAAATCTTTCTCTAGCAATATCGCCTGACCTTGAGGACCAGTCATGAGTCGGTGTCAAAGAATTTCAATGAATTGATTTCTGAGCTATTCTAGGACGATATTATTATTTATAAACTGCTTCCATTATTAAAACACATTCTCCCTCTCTCTCTCTCAGTCTCTAATCTCCTCCTCTCTCTTGCAGTTATTAATATTAATTAACTGTTAGGTTGCCACACCCATTTAATTATTATTATTATTATTAGTTTCTTATAGATTTGCTTCTTGTCCTATTAAAAACATTGCTGAACTATTATTATTATTATTATTATTATTATTATTATTATTTCTTATTATTATTAATATAATACATAAATGAATGCAATGACAATACGACACAAGAGAGGGACAATGGGTGTGGTTTATACTGATCTTGATAATGGCTTCCCACTGATCACTTGTTTAATTTCTTCTAAATCTAAAGTCTCGTATTTCAATAGACCTTCCGCTAGTCTTTTGTGTTCTGTAGCATGAGTCTTTAGCAGCTGGTAAGCTCTGTCATGACTCTCCTGATAGTAATGATTATAATCATGTCCCTCCCTCCCTCTCTCTCTCTCTTCCTCACTTTTAACAATCTTTTAATTTCATCTTCAATTATCTTTTGTGTTGTTGAGCTAACCTTGTCCTTATTTTGATGAAACACTGGACCAACCTAACAAAATAATAATAAATAATAATAATAAATAATAATGTACAGTGTAAGAGGGAACTGAGCCTTTAAATAAACATTTTTTACAAAATAGATACAACACAAGGATAAATAGTAGGTTGTACAGGGACTTTGGCCAAATTTTGGAGCAACTTTAAAAATTCATAAAAAATCCAAACTTGATCGGAATCAGCTCAAACTTTCTACACAACATAAGAACATGTACATGTATATGCATCAGATAAGATTAACACAGTCCAGACATGCTGCAGTTACTTACAGCATCACTCATTGCATATTTAGTAACCATGGCTGTAGCAATATCTGTTGCTTTTTTGAAGTCAGAAGAGGCTCCAGTGGTAACATTCTCTGCTCCATACATTATCTCCTCAGCTACTCTTCCTCCCATAGCAACATCCATACTAGCCAGCAGCTGTTTCTTGGTCCATGACAATTGATCTTTCTCAGGCAGCATAACAACCTGAGGAGGGAGGGGGAGGGGCAGGTTAAATGGAGCAGGTGCTTCTTACCATTCCTAGTGCTGGCCCACGTGGTACAATAGTAGCCTTGTGAATGGGTAGAGCCCCTGCAATTGTCAACTAATTAATCATCATTATTATTAATAGACCAGACCTGGAGTGAACATTGCTACAATGGCGTGTCCCCCTTCATGGTAAGCTGTCTTTTCTTTATTCTCTCGTTCAATGACAGCACTCTTCTTCTCAGGACCTTAACAATGACATCATATGACATCATATGACATCATCACCTCACCCATTAATATTCTATCCTTTGCATATTCCATATCTTCCTCTGTCACTTCAGTCTTTCCATCAGCTGATGCTTTCAGTGCCGCCTGGTTTATCAAGTTAGCTAAATCAGCCCCTGTTCAAGTATATTAATAGTAACATGATCTATTTTTACTAAAACAGAGCTACTTAGCAACTACTATTAATAGACGTTACTATTAATAGACGTTACTATTAATAGACGTTACTATTAATAGATGTTACTATCAATAGATTACCTGAGAAACCAATAGTGCCCCTTGCTAGTTTCTCCATACTGACGTCTAATTAATATTCATAACATTAATTAATTAATTAATCAATGATTATTACCAGGTCCAAGTTTTATCTTTTTAGAGTGGACCATTAGTATATTGTGTCTCGCCTTCACGTCAGGCATGTCAATGTGAATGTGAATGTCAAACCTTCCAGGTCTTACCAGCGCCCTACGGGTACATGTACAGGTCATGTGACTATCATGTGACTCACTTATCCAGTGATTCTGGGAAATTGGTAGCTCCAATGACAACCACACCCTCCAATTCTTTATAACTATATCAACAAACAAACCTTTATTTATTTGTTTGTTTATTATTATTGTTTACCCGTCCAGCTCCACTAGCAGCTGGTTCAGTGTCATTCTGGAGTAAGGATGAATAGCACTCGTTATTCTGGCCCCTCCCACTGCATCCAACTCATCAATGAATACCACACAGGGTTTGCTACGTCTCGCTTGTTCTGAGAAAGAGAGAGGGGGTGGGTAGACTAGATAGGTTTTATTTTTCTTATTATTTACCGAAAAGTTTCCTAATTCTTGCTGCTCCTACTCCAACAAACATTTCATCGAATTCGCTGCCGGATGCAAAGAAGAAAGGAACATCGGCTTCTCCTGCAATAGCTTTAGCCAGTAAAGTCTTACCAGTACCAGGAGGACCAATCAGTAGCATACCTGCAGTACACGTCCATACACCATTTTATAAAGTACATCATGTACGTCTCTCTCTCTCTCACCAGTGGGTAACTTTGCTCCCAGCTTCTTAAACCTGCTCGGGTTCCTAAGGAACTCAACCATCTCTTGAACCTCCGCCTTAGCCTCGTCAATCTGAAGTACATGTACATGTAACAATACAATAATAAAACGCAGAGTGTTCTTACTCCTTGGACGTCATCAAACTTGTACTCTCGGTCGGTCATATCAGGTCGGAAGTCTTTAGTCATTTGTTGAGCTATAAATAAAATGGCTAACGACCACACCCCTGAAGACCACACCTACTTCCTCCTTTCATTTGAGTGAATAAAGCTGACGAGACAAAAGTTGTAATAAGAAATGCCAAAATAATGAACCTGGCAAAGTACCATATCTCTCGTATAATGCCACCACCTATTAAATAATTAATTGATTAATTAATAATTATTAATTACCTTTTGTTGATTGGACGACAACATGAAGTGGACTGTCCTTATGTCCAGTGCCACTACTAGCATCTGAAATAAATAAATAAATAAATAAATAAATAAATAAATAAATAAATAAATATTAAATTGTTTAGCTCACTGTCTGACAGCATTTGTTGTCCAAATGGAAACTTCATATCAAAGTTTTTATAATAATTATCAGAATTAGACTATTTTAATTAATAACACAAAGAGAGAGAGGTTTAAAGTATGCTAGCATTGCTATATCTTACTGTTGTCAAGTTGATGGCCTTCTGATAGATGGATCTCACCTCTTCATTGATGGCATATCGTCCACTCTCAAACCTTCTAATGACATACTCTGGATCAGTCTCACAGACAGCCTAGACCCAATTGATAAATGGACGATTGTATCATTGTATCTACTTACAGCAAGGTAGAGTGCTTGGGCCGTTGGGTTATCAGTCTCAGAATTAGCTCTCGTTTCCAGCTGCATTATTCGAAAATCAGAGACTCTTCTACTACTCCACCTGGTAGTTAACAAGCCGCTGTAGTCTAAATACATGTACATGTACTTATTATAAATTAATCATTAGGTTACTTTTATTTCTGGAACTCCTTGTGAAAGCAGCTGTGGAATAACACCTACGTGTCATACTACCAAATAGTAAATAAGGGTTTCGTAACTTCTTTAAACCTAATAATAATAATAATAATGAATGTATAATTAATGGAGAGGCTAGTATTACCACTAGAATGAATAATGTCAGTCACACGGCAGTCATGTGACCCGATAGGCCACTCTCCTCTCAATTGTGACATCACATCAGTAGTGATGTTCAACTCTTTCAGCAATGGAGTGGTACTAGCCTTTTGAAATAATAAAATTTTAAGATGTAATCCATATTCTTACTCTGTGTGATGTTCCTCCTCCTTTTTCTCTTTCGTACAGTTTCTGTTGCTTAAATAATCTCCCAATGGCGCTGTTCATGCCAAGATGAGCACCATTGAGTACAGAAACTGCTTCAGAGAGAACACTGGCGTTATTAAGCAACTAAAGGAGAGGGAGAGAGGCAGATAAGAGAGGAGAACACGAGATAGTTACTGGAATGTGAAGAGACATCATCTTGTAGAAGAAGAAGAGAGAGAAAGAGAAAGACTTGATTTGTTACACGAGATGGAATAATAAACTGGCCACGCCTACTTAATGTAAGCTCCTCCCATAACTAAAAAGTTTACGGTATTTGCACATTTCCGTATTCTTTCATTCCGGTTTTTGAGGCCACGCCCATCAATCATCTTTTGACTTTTGAAGGTAAACTTTCTTTAACTTTTCTCTTTTCTCTTTTCAGTCTTTTGTTTCAAGGTTAAGGTAAGAAAAAATATCTAGAAATGATCTAAAACTGTTTCCTAACCTCTCATCAAACGTTAGGCAGGACAATATGAGCAGAGCTTTAAGGAAAGCAGTTGAAAACTCGAAGCAAAAGAAAGAGATCCATCTTGCAGATGAAGGGATATCAGCCCTTGAAGACGTACCGGAGCTATGTGAGGAAAGAATAATGATTAGTAGTTGTATGCACACTCTCTCTCTTAGTTTCTGCTCGTCACATTACTAAACTGATATTGAGCCATAATAAGATCACAGGTTAGAATGAATCATTGTTTTAAAATTCTAATTATGTGTTCAATGATCAGAGTTACCTGCGGAAATATCGAACCTAACTGGACTCGAATATCTTAATCTTTTTAATAACCAGCTCGAGGTCAGTGTGGTGAATCACAGTATAATGAATCTCTATAAATAATGTTAGGATTTGCCCAGTACCATAAGCACCCTGCCAAAACTGAGGGAGCTTAACTTAGCGTAAGTACCTAAGTATGCATGTACATTAGTCTGGGGATCTTGTTACAGGTTAAACAGGTTGTGCGAGTTGCCGAGAGGCTTTGGGTCGTTCCCATCTCTTCAGATTCTGGACATGACTTACAACAACTTGTCATCAGCTTCTTTCTCAGCTAACTTTGCTTACCTTGGAGGTGAGGGAGATAGAGGGAGAAGGAGTGGGGCATTTTTGTTTATTATTTATGTCTGTTTGTTTGCGTTAGGGTGTCTAAAAGCTCTCTTTTTGGGCGATAATGATTTAAACAGATTTCCTCCAAATATGGAGAAGTTTATCCTCCTTGAAGTGGTAGGTTCAATTAAACTGACATTCCTCTTATAAGTTCACTCCTCAGTTGATCCTAAGGGATAATGATATCGCTGACGTACCCTCTACCATACACGCTTGTCAGAAGCTGTCCACACTCCAGCTGCAAGGGAATCAAATAAATGTCCTACCGCCAGAAATGGGTACGATTTGAAACATTCTTGTTTGAAGATTATACATGTGTGTATCTTTGACAATCTTCTCTCTCTTTCTCCCTTAGCTCGTTTGAATTTCTTAACGGAGAAGAGTTGTTTTAAAATATACGACAATCCTTTGATTGAAGAGCTACAGAGTCGGTCCACAACTGTCAAACAACTCTTTGATTATGTAAAGACGGAGGAGTACAGACTGTAAGTTGTTTTTGAATAATCTGACTAGTTCCTAAACTCATACATTGACTTGTTTTTGTTTGCTCACTAACTAACTCTAAAATTGTAGTAATGTTGGATTTGATCCAAACTTTCTGCATAGCGTAAGGGCGTCAATGTGTATCAGGAAATACAACGGCTGTATCTTTTTGAGCTAAAAATTATCATAATATTTGACCACAACACTCACTCTCTTTCCTCTAGTATTTATGCTGAGTTCAATGAAGCTGGAAAGTTTACAAAAGTCAAGAGAGACTATCGTTCAGCTAAAAAATGTCGCAATACCAAACGCCATAAAGTGCCTGCTTTATCAGGACCAGGATGGAACTTGTAATTATTCTCTGTATCAGTTTTACTCCCTCTCCCTCTCCCTCCCCCTCTCGTCTTTCATTTTAAAAATCATTATCTCACTTTTAGTTGCAAGTACACGTACCAGCAGTTTAGAATTGTGATGTTGATAATTATTATTATTATGATTAAAAAAGTGTATAAATACACAACATTATTGTCTAATGTCAGCTGTAAACAGAAAATTCAATTATAAATTCCACCTGGAGTGGAGGAGTGGGTTGGAGGGTGGGCACTAGGGCTGTCTTCAAACAAGATGGCAGGTGAAGAAGGAGCCTGTCCTTTTGGTGGCTATGATCTTGTCTTTGTGGAGACACCACCAGCAGAATACGAGTGTCCAATATGTCAACTGATTCTGAGGGATCCTCACATAGTCGACTGCTGCGGCTACAAGTTCTGCAACCAGTGCATCACAAGGATAAGCAACGCCAACAAACCTTGCCCTATGTGTCAGACCAATGGCTTTAGGACAATGCAAGAGAGACAGCTCCAAAGGAAGATAGCAGACCTCGTTATTTGCTGTCCAGAAAAGAAGCAAGGCTGCCCCTGGACCGGGGAGATAAGAGATCTTGAGGCTCACCTGGGCTCTCTCTGTGCTTACATTGTTATCAATTGTCCTCTTGAATGTGGAGTGGAGTTCCAGCGGATTCATTTAGAGAAGCACCAAGAGGATGAGTGTCCTAAACGATCGCCTGAATTAAAACTACTGAGCCTAACTCGAAAGTTTGAGGAGCGACTTTCAATCGTCGAAACTAAATGCAGCGAACAGGAAGAGAAGATAAAACAGCTTGTTGGACTGGAGGAAAAGTGTAAGGAGCAAGCGGAGATGATACTCAGTCTAAAAGAAGAGCTCACGAGTGTTAAATGTGAAAAAGAGTTGCAAGACATTACTTTGAAGCAGCTGCAAGAGTCTGTAAAAGAAGCTTCTTCAGTTCAAGAGTCGGCCCTCACAGGATCCCTAAAAGACGTGGAACATGAGCTGATAAAGAGGTGTCTTTCTTTACCTGTACGTGTAACCACGACACATTCATCCTGGGTCAGTCCTTCGTTCTACTCACACCCAAAAGGTTATGTCCTTCAATTGGTTGTCAATCTTAGAAAGTTCACTTCAGCCCTGGATAGCCTAGCTCATAGTATTTTCTCTTCTGGTCGTAATCCGGAGAAAGGACCAGTCAAAATGTCTCTTAATGTCCTCCCACAGCGAGACTATGATTCCCTAGAATGGCCTGTCTATGTCTCTGTTGACTTGTTCTTATTGTCAACTACCGACAGCAGTGCTGACCGTAAGATATTCACACTAACAAAATATAAAGATTTGAGTTTGCAGGAAGACCCACGAGAGTCTTCTGATGAGAGTAATGAAGAGGTTATCGGTTATGCCAGACATGTTTACTGCTGTCGTATTGTCATTCTTAATATTCGCTGTAGCCCTGAGTCCCCTCCTCTTGAAGAAGACACCAAAGCTGCCCTGGATAGTTCACAGTCTTAACTAAAACTAGCATTGATGTTTGAATGTGTGGACTTGAGTATTCATTTTTAAATAAACATTTTGAAATAGTTTATTATGCATGAAAACAATAATAATCCAAACCGGATGTGAGGTCACAGAAGAACCGGATGTGAATGGACCGCCCACGCATAAGCTAAAGGTACAAAAAGAGTTCCTGTAACCATAGATACATCCCATGCTTGGACTCTGTCTGGCAGCTGATGATGGGGAAAGGTGTTTCTGGCAAAAAAGAGACTGCTTCTGCTTCAAAACTACAATCAAATAAATCAAAGAACTTAGCAGCTGGAGTTCAGACAGTTCCACGATCAGCCTCCGAGAAGCAGTCAAGACCTACTCCTCATAGCTGTGAGAAACCAACAGCTGCAGCAAACAGCAGCAACAAGGTAGGTAATAAAAACTACACTGCAGTACATTATTTGATATTATTTCTATAGCAGCAATACTGCCAGAGGATTAGCAGGACTAATTCTGACAGACAAGTAGTGATGAGGCGACATGAAGCTGCCAGGTATCAATATGATGAAGATGACAATGACACCGTACAGTCAAGGATACTACTCCTGCTTGTGCTGATGGTCATCATGGCTTACTGGATCGGATTCCTTTACTTTAAAACATCACAATTTGACTCAAGGAACAAGATGCTCATCTCTGCCATACAAGAGTGCAGGATTGAGTTTAAGGAATCAAAAATGGAGCATAAGGAACAACTTGAGCTGGCTGTTAAGGAAAGAGAAGAGGATCGTATTGAAATACAAAGATTGAAGGAACAAATGACTTTGCTTGAATCTGAACACAATGGCTTACTACATCAATGGAGACTGGCAGACAAAGAGAAAGAGAGCAAAGTCAATGAACTACAAAATGTGCTAAGTGAATGCAGCTCAAACTCAACAGCATTCATGAATCAACTCCAAGAAACTTCACAACTGAACTCAATACTGACAAGAGATACGGAGACTTTGCAAGAATCTCTCAAAGAGCTGAAGCTATCGGAAGAGAATTTAAAGGATTCACTTCAGTGTCAAGAGTATGAAATTGGAAATGCAACGCTTGATCGAGAAGTACTGGAAATGAAACTATATGACAGAATGAAGGATGACTATATTCGTGAAGAAGAAATAAATTATCTGAAAGTCAAATTGGATGATTTATACGATGAAATGGAGGAAATGTCAGAGGAACAAGAAGCTAAACTTGAAGAGAAGAATGCAAAACTTGCTCACCTTATTTCCGAGATAAAGAGTGAAAATGACAGATTTCTTCTAATGGATAAAGCAATAAAAAAGCAAGACACAACAATCCAGCTCTTGAAATACCAAATACATGAAGAGAAGTCAAAAAATACTAAACTGCAAGCATCTCTTAACAAAATGAGTGCACTAACTGTCTCTGAAGGTAAGATAAACATGGAGACAAAGGTGGACAAACCTGACAAAAAGCTTAAGAATTGAATGACGTGAAACTGTTTATTGAAATTTAAAAGATACTTCATTATAGTGTAACTTTTATATAGATTTTAATCTTATTATTCGTTTCTGAGTAATACTTTTATAATTTCTGCGGCATGAACTTGGCAATTTTTATTCTCAGTTAGTTTCTTTAAATATTTCATTACATCTTCATCTGAAATAGAAAAAATAATGATAAAACATCAAAAGTTGTAATAACTTCTTACCTGATGAAAGCAATTTCTTTAATATTTTCGATTCCTCTGGGAAATTTATAAGAATAAAGTGAGAGAAAGAGAGAGTAGCTACTACTCCTTCAGAATCATCACTACTAGCATGAGAATTATAACTTCTACTGAAGTAATGGACAACGTGATGATACAACTTCTCTCCATTTGTAACTATATCATGATAATAAGTAAGAGAAAGGATTGAATAGGAATCACTCACTTAATGAAGCTATTCCATTCTCAGTGGTTGTATATGACTGTAATATGCACATTAATCTTGATGTGATATCAGTATTGTTTTTACATTCATCAAGAGCTTCACAGATACCATTCATCAATTCACTAGAGCTGGACCATTTTGATAATAAATCTGTCTCAATATCAAAGATAGTGTCCAAAATTGTTGCAGCATTTCTTAACAAATCACCTTTAAAATGACTTAGAGCAAGTAATGGTATCATCATCTATACTTACAATTTGTAGAACTTGAAAATATGAAGGATATGTCATTAAGAAATGTGTCAGAGGTAGAAATAGCTTTAGTCCAATGAAACTGTGTATCTACACATGTCAAGCATGTGATTATCAGCCTGCATGGAACAAAAGAATTAATTATTATCAGTTTGTTATAACAAATACCTTGACAACTCTAGTAGCACATTGGAGTCAGAATGAGCCAAAAGTGACAAGCAAATATTTCTGAAATAAAAGAAACAAGTGTATTTTTACAAAATTTAATAAAAAAGTAGTACACTGGGTCTCATTATAGTCAGGTATCATTCAGATCTCTACAATGTAGCAGTGTAACACTAACTACAAAGCAGTAGAATGAATTGAGTGGTTAGCTCATTGACTATAGCCTCTTCATTGAAACAGTAGCACACAGGCCCTTGATGGGATTCATGTTTATATAGGCTGGTCAAATAACATGTTCAGTCTCTCATGGGTTCATGTGGTAATGTGCTATGAATTACATTATATCAGGTATTATGAAGTCTTTGGCTCTGTCATCAGTTTTGCAAGCTATATTGTTACAAATTCCTAAGCAAATCTCCTACAAGACATATTATAGAAAATAATATCCTCTTTGGATAACATTCACATCATCTTACTCACTGTTAGTCTGTCATACTTTGATCTCATGATACAACCAACCAACAACTGAACTGAATCATGCTCTTGCATAAATGATACAATCTCCTAACATTAAAATGAAATCCTTATAAAGTCCAGATGGTAAATTAAAACTTACAGTGTTAACGGTCAGATCCCAGAGCAAGCACAGCTCATTCTCAGTTGTCTCTTCTAGCTCATAGTTTCTCTCATCTTCTTCTGATGGAGTCTCTTCTGCAGCTCTTACTAGCTTCACTAATAAAGAGAGAACCCAGGACCTGCTGAAGACTGTTCCTTCAATAGCATCATCATTCTCTTCTTTTTCTGAGGTATTGTCTCCTGGACCTGTAGCCATTTACTACACCATATTAGCCACACCTGTATAGACTACTTCCTGCCTTATAAATGGCTCTGCTTTCTCTCTCTCGTTTCATTTCACAGTCAATTTCATCTCATCTGGCTCCGTTGGGAAGATATTTGAGTACAGGAAATCACCAGAGGATCTCTTCCATTGATGTTAATGTGCCAAATAGAGGACAATTCAATGTACTAAAAGGAGGAAGTGGTGTCCATTCACTGATATATATTCCAGGTGCCCTAGGCACTGCTAGTACTGATTATCAGTACCAGCTGGAGTATTTCTCCAGACCTGATTCTAGTTTCAATATCGTAGCCTTTGATCCGTTAGGTTACGGACGTAACAGATCACAAAGAAGACAGTTTAAAACAGAACCAATACACTTCCTTCAGCAAGACGGCATTGATGCTTATCACATCATGCAAGCAGTAGAGCCAGGAAAACCATTTTCAGTTCTAGGGTGGAGTGATGGTGGAGTAGCTGCTTTGTTTCTGTCAGCTCTATATCCATCTTTAGTCAATAAATTAGTCGTTTGGGGAGCGAATGCATTCTTGACGAAACAAGATATTGAAATGTTTGAGAAGACAAGAGACATTAAGAAATGGAGCCCTGGAATGAGGGACTCTCTTCAAGCCATATATGGAAGTGATCTACCTCAACTTTGGTCTGACTGGCTGGACAGCATGATACACATATTTAATAAACACAATGGCGACCTTTGCATGAAGGAGCTAGTCAAAATAAAAGCACCTACACTTATTCTCCATGGAGACAAGGATCCATTGGTACCAGAAGTGCATCCAGTCTATCTTAATGATGCAATCAGTGATACCAGAGTCCATGTATTCCCTAATGGTAAACATAATATTCATATCAAATATTCACAGGAATTTAATAAAATTGTTGAGGAATTTTTGTTACAAAAATAATACGATAAAATTTTAAATAAAAAAAACTTTATAAAAACATATATTTAACCAAGTATGGACGCAGAAGATATACATAATAAAAGAAATTTGTTTATTCTCTCATGGTTCAACTTGTAACGAGACAGCATGACACACACCATCATCAATCCATGGTGCCTCCATTATGAGGTGTCTCACTTTAGCATTGCTTGAATAATCAGTCAAATAGCTTAAAGTGTTCACTTGATATTGCTCAAAAAGGGTCAGCATTGCATCTCTAAGAGGGTGATCAGTAGATTCATCTTTTTCATTTACTACTTCTTTGCTGGCTGAGTCAGTAGTGCATTCCTCATTGCTGTCCAGTAAGAGCTGCCTTGCTACAGCAGAGAGCCTGCAGATGGTTGATTCATCAAAGTCATACAGTGGTGAGTGTAGATGAACTGGACAAGAACTGAATAGAGTACCAGAAGTATCGGAATGAAGGCAGACCTCAACTCTAGGAGGGGGGGAAGAGGAGGGAGGATGAATAGGTAGTGTTACTCTTCTCTTCTGAGGTCTGGAGGGTAGAGTGGTGAAAGGAGACGTGAGAGAGAGAGTTGAAGAGGATAAAGATGACAAGCAATCTTCTTCAGTTTCGCTGTCATCAAAATGCTGCTCAAGAACAGGCAAACAATAATTATCACGATCTTCTTCTTCATCTTCTGCCACAACTGCCTCCTCACTTTGTTTTTTCTTAACTTCAGACTTTCTCTCAGGACTAGCTTGACTCATGCTGCTATCCAGTCCTATGGCACTGTCAGCTTTTATTGAGCTATCGCTATCAGAAGCACTGGTAATGGCCCCCTTGACTTGAAGGAACTCTTGACTTGGAGGAGATATTGATAACAAGAGAGGGTGAGTTACTGTGGTCGTCTTGTAGTTCACTTGGAGCATATCGCACAGACTTCTTGACATAACCTCAGTAGAATGAAGCAGAGTGGAGTCATCATCATTTACTGGTGAAGTAGGCATTGACACAGAACACACTGATGCCCTGTGACTCCATTTATTCCTCTTTGTTTCTTTAGAAAAAGACTCGGACCTCATTCTCAATGACTTGTAGTCCTTCCAGTGAACAATGTTAGTCAGCAGCCAGCCAAGGTAAGGGACGCACTGGACACGATTCTGGAGATTAATCTCCATTTCTCTTTGAACCTCATCGCTGTCAATAATGGCAGACAATCTCTGATACTTCCTACAACAATTAAAAATTCCAATAATTAAAACAGTCTGAATGATATCAAACAAACAAGTTCAAATGTTGCCAATGACGCAACGACCGCCAAACTAATATAAAGATGATGACGTCTTGTGTGCCACTATATGTTCATGTTCAATGAATCGTGTAAGAGTTCATGCACGCCATTAGCTACCATCGCTCCCATCAGTCTAACTCTCACTTAAGCATTAGCTATTAGGTCTGCATCCTTTTCAGGATTATTGTACTAAAGCAATTTGCTAAACTTTTACCCCCTCCAAAATGCTTAGCTGCTCTTTTATCTCACTTACTTTCTTTTTTTGGACGGCACATGGTTCCAAGACCTCTTCAATCTAAACACGGCTTGACTCTGAAGCCCTGACAGTATTGCTTTCATTGAGTTGTAGTTGTGAAGTTTATAACATCTTCCGGCCAACTAAAGTAATATTAGAAACAATTCGTAAATTAATGAACATCAATGGTTGCTATGTGGATAGCGTTTACTACCAATTAGAGTAATTGTCTGCCCACACTTCTCTATAACAAATCCCAACACTAATTATTAACTCTTAATCAAGACACGCTGTCTCTATCACTCATTACCAACTACTACAAATTACTACTCACTCAATTTCACTTCTCTTCCTCTCTCTCTCCTCCCTCTCCCTTTCTCTCTCTCTCTCCCTCTTCCTCTCTCTCTCTCTCTCTTCCTATACTTACAGTGATGTATTTGCTGATCACTTTCCCCCTGGTCTGTAGACATCTTTCATGAACAACTTCAGTACAGACAATACAAGCAATCCGATTGAATGCTTGTATCATTGCCAGTACATTGGGCGAGGTAGATTGCTGTAAAAGAATATTAAAACACATTTAATAAAACATTATTAAAAAGTGTGACAGAGATCAGACAGGAGAATGGCCCTTTGAAAGTTGTTTGATAAAAGTGTAACCAGGCAACAAACAAACAAACAGAAGAATGTCACATAAGCACTAATAACACCAACAGGGACATTATACCTCTTTTATCCATCATATGCCATTTATCCATCATATGCCATTTATTTGATATGTAACAATATACATTCCATGCATTGCCAAATTCACTTGAGTAATTGCTACACTGTTATTTTTATTATCATCATTATTACTATTATTGTACCTTTGATTTCTTATTCATCCAAGCATTGTCTATCAGTTCAGATATTGAGATTTTGCGAAACATCTCAGAATCTATAAGTGATAATTCTTCGGCCAATATCTGTGGATCTTGAAGATATAGTTTTGAACAATTTGGCCGACTAAAGAGATCAGTTTTGCTCCTCTCTCCACTGTCCACCTGCTCCAATCCACTGGTCACTGAATGAATCCTCTTCCTTTGAAAGACTTTAAAGAGATTGCTGGACCCTGGGGACTTAGGCTGTGATACATACACAGTTTGACTCTTTCTGACATATTTATTTGGTAGAGAGCGAGGCAGACTAGCAGTAGAGACTTCGCTATGGAATGAATGTCCTCTTTTAAAAACATCTTTCTTGTTTGGTTTAGGTGAAGTATGGGCTGACAGTGAAGTGTTGGCATTCATGAGCTTTGCTGATAGAGCACGCGTAAATTTGTGAGCTTTGGGCGAGAAACTCATCAGTTTTGTTTTTTTAAGTGAAGAATTTCGAGAGGACGGAGACGACTTGACAACTTTATCGTTTTCCTTTAGATGAGACGGAGAAAATGGAACTATTTCTTCATTTTGGTCTTCATCTTCGGGTGGGGCGCTTGACGAACGATGAAAAGAAAACCTCTTTATGTCTCTCGGACGGAATGCCTCTCTCCTTCTGAGTGGTGAGGATTTGATTCGGTTCTTTGATGGCATGAACTGGGCGGTTTCTTTAGAAGAGAAAGTTTCTCCATGCCATTCTCTGGAGGGTCTTTGAATTCTAACAGTAGGAGGAGTAGGTTTGTCAGGAATAAGGATAGGCAGTCTAACGGGAAGGGAAGAAACTGTGTCTACTTGTGATAGAGATGATATTCTCTGTAGCCATTCTTCATGATTGTCATCCTTGTTCATCTTATAATTAAAAAGGACATTGTCGCCTTCTTGTACAGTCAGCGTTAGCTTTCCTTCTCTCTCTTCCTTAGTCAGGCTGTCTTTTCTAAGCGAGTGAGTCCTAACATGTCTGAGCTGCCCGCCTTCATTCTTTGCCACCACCAGTTCACTATCAGTTAGATACAGCTTCACTACATCACTGGAATCAGTCTCTGCCTTGATCTCTGTGAACTCTTCTGCTAGCACACGCTGCGGCGAGACCAGCTCTGTCTCTTGCGGTCGCTGCGGGTTGGACTCTCTGTCCTTCGCCTGTCCCCCTTTCTTTTTGAACTTTTTCTTTTCCTCGGGCATCATTGGGAGAGGAGAAGAGAGGCTACTGGCTGTTAGACTACACATGAACACCTTTTGAACTGCTGATAAGAAACGGACCTCCTGATCTCCTTAGGAGTTTAACAACTCATTTCCTGTCCCTGCGATCAGCAGTGTAGGCTGCTGGGCCCATTTAGACTATACGTGCATTCCACACTACCTAATCTACTCATCTCTCTTGATAACAGTTTATCCGGTCCACCTACACCTCTCTCTGAAGGTGTGAACATTTAAAAAGGAGACACAACAAGTATGGCTGCCAGCAGCAGCAGCAGGATTGAGAAGAGAACCAATGGTGGTCTGACCTGGAGCTATGTTCCAATTACAATCAATCCTAAGGAGCTACTATCATCTTTCAGGACACATTTATGTCCTCTTTTGAGGTGGGGGCAAGAAGAAGAGCTGTCTACAAAGGAATTTACTGATGGAATTACTAATACACTGATTGGTGTGTACCGTAGAGACAGAGGGAAAGATGATATGGTGCTAATTCGGTTTAACGGCCAAGACACAGAGATAATGATAGACAGGGTTAGAGAAATAACGACCATGTTACTACTGAGTGATCTCCGTCTCTCCACTAAGCTTCATTGTCAGTTTGATAACGGGATAGCCTATGGGTATGTCCCCGGTCGACCAGTCACCATAGACGAGATGAGCGACCCTGCCATGTGTAGGAGGATTGCAAAGACCTTGGCAAGGTTTCACAAAGTTCAGGTCCCGGAGAGTCTCTCAAACGGAAAGTCAAGACTATTGAATGAGTTTTTTACGTGGTTTGATAAGATACCTGATACATACAGCAAAGATGAAGATAATGAAAAGTAATGATAATAATAATAATAATAATAATAATAATAATAATAATAATAATAATAATAATAATAATAATAATAATAATAATAATAATAATAATAGTTGTATTGAATTTTAAGGATTGGTACTTTTAGTATGTTTATACAATTGATGATGGCTTGAGCAGTTCAGTATATACAGTGAGGAGTGTGTGAGTGTATACACACACTGGAGTGTGTGATTATAGTGTGTGTGTGTGTGTGTGTGTGTGTGTGTGTGTGTGTGTGTGTGTGTGTGTGTGTGATTATAGTGAGTGAGTATGTGTGTGGATTGCATCATAGTGTAATTAGAGTAGCAATGTGACCAGTAACTATTGTACTGATGTACTAAGTATACTGTGGTATGGAGTGATGTTATCTGCTAATCATCTCCTTAACATTACACAATGAGAGGATTCTACTCAACTGAACAATGTTGCTCCTATATTTACTATTGTGCAATATCCTCGGCAGATATTTGAGATCATTTGGTGGATCTACTGATCCTTTGAAGAGAGAAGTAGAGGAGCTTACAATCGAATTAGAGAAACTATCGTCTCCACTTGTCTTATGTCATAATGACCTCCTCTGTGGGAACATCATTTACAATGAAGAAGAAGGTACTATAATGGCAGCTGGACTATAGTGATAATAATAATATAATGGTATTCTTTTGATAGATAATGTCTCATTTATTGATTTTGAATATGCTGGATTGAATCCAAGGGCATACGATATTGCTGATCATTTTTGTGAATTTGTTGGTAAGAAAGAAAGAGAGAGAGAGGGGGGAGAGAGAGAGGGGATAAAATGATTTCAATCTTTGTAAGCATGTTAATGTTTACAGTGTGACTCATTCTAGTGGTTTCTGTTTTATTGAATGTTCCAGGAAATATAAATGTAATCAAAATGAGCTTGTGCAGCCATATAATCATGTTATTTTTTGAACAGAAAGAACGGGAATTTTTATTGTAAACTTTCAATTTTGATATGATAACCATCATTTAGGGATCGATATTAAAGACATTGATTATACTAAATACCCAGGAGAAGAACTACAGAAGAAGTGGCTGAGAATGTATTTAACTGAATTGAAAGGTATCCCTCGTTATCATTCCATGAATATTTATGAAATTATAATTTTATTCTCTCAACTACTAATTTATCACATTGATCAGCTTCTGTTGTTTTATAAAGCACTGTAATAGTCCTGAGTATTTTGTCAAAATTGAAAAGGAGAGAAATAATCATTTAAAAATTTTTTCTGATACATATACATGTTCTTGTGTTGTGCAGAAAGTTTGAGCTGATTTTAATTAAAATCGGATTTTTAGTTGCTAATAATTCATGCCTTTTCTCTCATATATAATACACTGTTGGGTGTTTTACCACACAAGTACTTTTACTGCTTGAATATTTTAGGTACTAGTGATATCAGCGACACTGATCTGCACCAGCTGTATAGAGAAGTCAATAAATATGCTTTGGTATGTACTGAAGTGATAAGTATCTTAGAATGGAAATAATGTCTATAACTCGTTAATATTCAGGCAGCACACCTAATGTGGACAATATGGGGACTGATACAAGCTTCAATTGCTACCATTGACTTTGATTATTTGACGTAAGTTCATTGATAAATTATTATTGATGTGTAGTAAGTTTGAGCTGATTCCGACTTCAATTTTTCAAGTTACGGCCATTTTAAGAAAACGTCAAAATTCTGAAAAAATCCCTGTACTATAGCCCATGGTTTTTTCCAAAAAATGGCTCTGAAATCACCCTCAATTTTTATTCCATTTTCTGATACATATTGATGTACTTATGCTGTGTAGAAAGTTTGAGGTGATTCCGACTTCAATTTTTCAAGTTACGACCATTTTAAAAAAATGGCAAAATTTTGGAAAATACCCAAGGCTATAGCCCATGGTTTTTTCCAAAAAATGGCTCCGAAATCACCCCCAATTTTTATTACATTTTCTGATACACATTAATGTCCTTATGCTATGTAGAAAGTTTGAATTGATTCCGACTTCAATTTTTCAAGTTACGGTCATTTTGAGAAAACGTTGAAATTCTGAAAAAATCTCTGTACTATAGCCCATGGTTTTTCCCAAAAAATGGCTCCGAAATCACCCCCAATTTTTATTACATTTTTTGATACATATTGATGTCCTTATGCTGTGTAGAAAGTTTGAGCTGATTCCAACTTCAATTTTTCAATTTATGGCTATTTTAAGAAAACGTCAAAATTCTGAAAAAATCCCTGTACTATAGCCCATGGTTTTTTCCAAAAAATGGCTCTGAAATCACCCTCAATTTTTATTCCATTTTCTGATACATATTGATGTACTTATGCTGTGTAGAAAGTTTGAGGTGATTCCGACTTCAATTTTTCGAGTTACGGCCATTTAAAAAAAACGTCAAAATTCTGAAAAAATCCCTGTACTATAGCCCATGGTTTTTTCCAAAAAATGGCTCCGAAATCATCCCAATTTTTTATTACATTTTCTGATACATATTGATGTCCTTATGCTGTGTAGAAAGTTTGAGCTGATTCCGACTTCAATTTTTCAAGTTATGGCCATTTTAAGAAAACGTCAAAATTCTGAAAAAATCCCTGTACTATAGCCCATGGTTTTTTCCAAAAAATGGCTCCAAAATCACCCTCAATTTTTATTACATTTTCTGATACATATTGATGTACTTATGCTGTGTAGAAAGTTTGAGGTGATTCCGACTTCAATTTTTCGAGTTACGGCCATTTTAAAAAAATGTCAAAATTCTGAAAAAATCCCTGTACTATAGCCCATGGTTTTTTCCAAAAAATGGCTCCGAAATCATCCCAATTTTTTATTACATTTTCTGATACATATTGATGTCCTTATGCTGTGTAGAAAGTTTGAGGTGATTCCGACTTCAATTTTTCAAGTTACAGCCATTTTAAGAAAACGTCAAAATTCTAAAAAAATCCCTGTACTATAGCCCATGGTTTTTCCCAAAAAATGGCTCTGAAATCACCCCCCAATTTTTATTACATTTTCTAATACATATTGATGTCCTTATGCTTTGTAAAAAGTTTGAGCTGATTTCGACTTCAATTTTTCAAGTTACAGCCATTTTTAAAAATTGTCAAAATCTAACATGTAACTTAAATTTGCATATAAAACCTTTTAAAAGTTTGTCCTATCAATTGATGTCATTCATTATTAGGTACAGCAGTGTAAGATATAACGAATATTTGGCTAAAAAGGAACATTTCCTGTCCCTTTAAATCTTACACCTCTGGACTTTAAATAATAATAATTATAATTATATTACAGAAATAAATAATAATAACAACATTAATAATGACATTGACAATTAATAATAATATCTTTCAATGAGATGGCAATAATCAAGTTGAAGTTGATTGGCTACGGGGATTAAAACTTCTAGAAATAGATCAAGATTAAAAAACACTATTATCATCATTATTTATACCTGTTGGGTGGCTGGAGTCTACCAATATAACTGTTCTTATTAACGTGGGAGGTGCTTCTGTTGAACGGATGATTCTCTTTGGAATGTGAAGAATTGAAAGCTCCAGACCTATGAACACACAGACAGACAGTTAATGAAAGGGAGGGAGAGAGAGGGGGGAGGGGGAGGGAGAGAAAGGTCTACTCACCTTGTAAGTGTTTGCCTTTTAATGGCTGCACTTTTAGTCAGTGACAGGTATCTGGGTTGTGGTTTGTTGATGTCACCCGAGCTATTGAACTCGTTGCTGCTGGTGCTTAACTCGGCTAACGGCCGTATGGGTACTTTGACTGGTGACTTCTTGTTCTTTCTCGCACCTCTCATCCCAGCCACACCCCCAACCCCGCCCTTTTGATGAATGGAATTAAGACTTAGTTTATTAGGGACAGCTAGAGGATGACTCCGCCCACTTCCTGTCTCCTTTGTTATAATATAAGTTGTGTTCAGTGAGTCTTCATCAGTTGTTATATCGTTTGAATGGATTGATGTCATGTAAATCGGATTAGAGACAAAATTTTCAGTTGATCGTTTGTCTGGAGGGCGGGGCACTGGGGGAGTGTCCACGTTATAGTTTAACGAGGCCACACATTGCATGGGCGGAGTCAGGCTGTTGCTAAGAGACAAAGGATTGTTAAAAGTGGGCGGGGCATAGTGCTGATGAGGAGCTGGACTAAAGTAAGGGGCAGCTAAAGGAGGAGGAGGATAATTGAACGGAGTACGGGATTTAATATCACTGGTGGGCGTGGTCCTTGGTAATGGTAGCTTGAACCCACCGGATGATACACAAAACGGTATAGCTTGAGTAGGTGTGGCCTGTCTGTTGCTAGGGGTAACAGGACTTTCAGGGGGCCTCTGTACAAAGTTGTCTTCAAAACAATTGTTACTAAAAGAAGGAAGAGAGCGAATGGTTGGAGCATGAGCTGGTAGAGGAGGAGCAGGAGAGAGAGAGGAGCGAGAAGGTGGGTATGGTTTACTGATGCTTGTTAATTGCGCTAAGTTTAAGTGACTTTTTTTAGCAGCAGAAGGAGCGTCATTTTGTGATTTGATTTGTGTAGTTCTTTTAATAATCGGTTTCTCATGATTGTCATCTTCGTTATCACTCGGAGCAGGTGACGGACTAAATAATACTCTTTTCTTTTTCGATGGACTGGTCGCCATAGTACTCAACACTTTACAAGAACCAGCACTGATGCTGCTGTCACTGGACTGAACACTCTCAGTTGATTTCTTGCCAGAAACTGCTACCCTACGCTCCGACAGCGGGTGCTGCTGGCTGACTTTTCTCCCTCCACTTCCTTCTCTGTTTCTCATAGTCTCTGATTCAAAAGGATCTGAAGACCGGGTGAGTATTCCAAGGGACGCTGAGGAGGTTGGTGAGCTGTATCTTGAACCAGCTGTATTGCCTTTCTTTATCGGCGAACTATGACTAACAATAGTATCAAACAAAGCCTGGTGAGTTGCAGTAAAACTAGACACTGATACGTTACACAGGCTGTCGTCAGTGATGGTACTATTAGCCCAAAGTACCTCCTTTTCTCCGTCAATCTGTCTTGTAAGAGAATCAAATAGGTCCCTAACTACTGGAGTTAGACAGTTCGTTGCTTGTAGGAGCTGATACTGTTTACGAACCAGTTCAAGCGTCAATAGGAACACTCTACAGATAAAAGGAACATAATTTAATGACTCCACCTGCAAAGTGACCGCCTTACTTCTCAGTCCTTGATATTTCCTTCTCCTGGTTCTTGATGTAACGGAGGAGGTGCTTGGTCTGCCTCCATTGGTAGCTGCACTCGGAGTCTAGTTTAGAGTTTTCAGTAACAGCTTCAACATATTTGGAAACATCATCAGAACAACCTGAGGGGAGATAAGGTTGAATTAAATGTAAATTATAAAGATTAATAACTTGAGTAGTTGATTTGTGTCCTGAATTGCTCAATCTTTTCATTGTTGGTTGATAGCTGCTGGTGGAGTGACGTCTTTTGCTGTTTGACGTCTCGTAAACGAGAATGAAGGTACTCTAATTTGGACTTTATCTATTTTAAAATATATTAATTAATATATTAATTATTAAGTTTTATTATTAATAGTTTACTTTGGCTATTCTTCTGTCATTTCCAGTCAAAACTTCAATTCTTTCTAAATCTTTTTCCTAAAATTAATCAAAAAAGAATAAAATTGATAAAAGTCCAATTTGTACTTTTCTAAATATCCTCAGTAAAGTGTCTCTCTCTACAGCGTCCAAATCAGCCATTGCTTTACGTATCCCTGCCCGGTCCATGTATATCTTTGAAGTATTTTCTTTAATTTTTTCAGTTTCCTCATCAAAGAGACACAAGCTACCACTGGAGACTGTAGCAGGTAGCGTCGTAGGCGACGTCTTTAATTGTGACTTTAATTCAACTATCTATTGATAATGATAATAATAATAATAATAATAATAATAATAATATATTTAGTAATTATATTTTAAAAATTAAACCTCTTTCTGTAACTCAATGACAATTGTCCTGTATCTGGTGACATGGTAATCCACATTAACAACATTTCGTACTAACTAAAAACATAATTTTAACAATAATTAATAATTATATTTTTTAATAATTATATTCTTTAATATTTTTAAATGTCCTTACTTTAGTTTTGATCTGTTTTGCCCTGTCAGCATATCTTAGAGTATTGTAAGTATCTTCATAAGTTAGACCTGAAGGACTAGGAGGAATAAAGTAACAGGTGGTGTTTAAAAGAGACAGTACAGCTGGTATTTAAAGTACCTGATGTTAGCGATCATCACAGTCCTGCAGTTACCTCCTAGTGAGTCTTTAAGGAGGCGTGTCAACTTGCTATTACGGTAAGGAACGTGACCTAACTTCCCCTAAAAATGAATATAAAAATATAATTAATTATAAATATAAATAATTATAAAACCAGTTCTCTCCATTACTTTGTTAGCAGCCAGTGCGTTAATGCAGTTCCCCAGTGCCAGTAGTGAGCGGTTGATGTTAGCACCTTCTCTCATCCTCGCTCCTCTGTTTGTGGTGACGGTTGCTCTCTCTGATCCCGCCAGGTCAATCAGACTCAGTTTGCCCTGGGTCACTTCAGCTGTTAGTCCGCCAGACCTAGCCCTTTGATTAACATACACCTGGAGAGAGAGAGAGAGAGAGATGAGCTCATGAATTACTGAAACTCTTTAATATTAATAATTTATTATTATTAATATAATGAATGACCACACCCAGGTATTCATAAGTGGGCCAGTGGTTATTTCCCCTTTCATTAACTAGTCTTAATGTGTTGTGCTGTAATGTTTTTAAAGATCCAGTGTCTTCTATACAGATGAGTGAATCACTCCAAAAGAATGTCACGTTTATCATAACTAATTCCTAAAAAGGCACACATCACAGGACAGGGAGGCAATGGCTGAAGGAGAGGAAAGAGAAACAGGAAAGAGAAAGAAGCTAAGATATGACTTCCTTGAGTCTCCATCAATCAAATTCTTCTGCAGTTTGTGTCATGATATCCTATTTGACCCACAACTCTCCACCTGCTGTAGAGTCAGCTACTGTGAGCCGTGCATCAAGCAGCTCAAGATCAATGAAGAACCATGTCCAGTTTGTAGTGACAAGAGATTCCCAATCAGGCCAGACCCAGGTCTTAAAGAAGAGCTTGATGCATTAAGAGTCCACTGTATCAACAATGGCTGCCACTGGACAGGGAGGGTTAAAGACCTTGAACAACACTTGAATACCCTGACCGGGGATTGTGGGTACGCTCTCGTAAGCTGCAGGTACAACTGTGGGATGACTTTTATAAGAAAGGACGCCACTAAACACGTCTGTAATGACTCCAATTCAACAGAGATGCACCTGGTTTGTCCTTGTACGGCCATTGGGTGTACTAGTTTCAATAACGAGAGAAGGAGAGGGTATTCCCTCTCACGCCACATCAGTGACAATATGGAGGGACACCTCCAGCTGCTTACAAGATACGCTCAATCACTCAAAGAGAGAGAAGATGCTGTACTAATGAGAGAAAGCAACGTTGAGAGAGTAATAGAAGAAGGACTGAGAGAGAAAGATGGAGAGATAGCAGAGCTTAAAGAAAGTGTAAAAGAATTGGCAGTTTTGTTAGAAACAAAAGAAAATGAGATCCTTGATTTAAACAAAGATGTGAAGGCATTTAAAAGAGCAAGTACAATGCTCACAGAAGAGAGATCTGTCCAACAAAAAGCGAAATACAACACATTCGAGCGTCACTTTATCATGAAGGACTTTAACCTTTACTATCAACCAAATGCTGGGAAGCTAGTCTGGAACAGCGATCCGTTCTACACTCACGATAAAGGCTACAAGATGTCCTTTAGCGTAGACGTGGTCTTTGGTTCTTTGAGGGTTTCCTTGTATTTACTGAGAGGGGAATATGATGAGTACTTACTGTGGCCCTTGCAGGGTTCTATTAATATACTACTACTGAATCAGCTCAACAATAGAAATCATTACACTTTTAACTTCATATATGACGATAACACTCTTGAAGAAATTGGTAATAGAGTGAAACCTGGTCGGATTAAATCGGACAAAAACGTCAGTGCCTCACAGAAACTGTCATACGATAATTTACTAATGTCCAGCGCTAGGAACGTCTGCTATCTGAAGAATAACTCACTGGTATTCACTGTATCATATATTAACTTAAAATAACTATTATTATTATTATTATTATTAATCTATTATTATTATTATTATTATTAATTACCTGAAACACAGCGTGAGACCGAGAGGAGGTAGCATTAGCATCCGTTGGGTGTTGGGTTCTGTTCTTATTTCCGTCAGCTAACATCTGTAAGAGTTCTTCGGCCGACTTAGGCTAAAAACAGTAAAGACAACACAATAAAATATTAATAATGCTTTTATTATTGTTAATAATTATATTCTTTCATATTAATGTCATCATTATTGTGCTGGTAACTAACTTGATGCTGAGAGAGTCCACTAACCACAAGGCCACACCTCCCATCCTCCCTCATGGCCAGGGCTCCGGAGGGTTCCAAAAGGTCTCTTATTGTTTCATTATAAATCTACCAATAGCGAGATACAAGGGATTGCTAATGATACATGATGTGTGAACATAAATCAACATATTGATGATAAGTTATTATTGAGTTATGACAATGAGGTTCCACTGACGCTTAGGAAAGGGTATAACCAACAAATGCTTTCAGACAAGCAAAGACAATTTATTACACATCCTGAACTAATCTTTCAGGCAAATTAGAGCCATTTTAGGAATCCCAAAGTTATATCACTTTTTATGAAGCAAAGCAATTTTAGCATTAGCATTAGCAGGTGTATGATAAGTGGATGTGTGTTAATAATGTATATTACCTCTAAGTAAGTGACTGCCACATCACATATCTTGACTGATTTGAGCCTCTCTATTCTCCGATACAGTTCCATTGTCGTTAGAAACATGATACCAGGTTCTTCCTCGTTCCCGAGCATAGTGTAGGTCTTACCTGCCCCAGTGGCACCATAGGCAAACACGGAACAGTTTACGCCATCAAGCAACCCGTCAAGGATTGGTTTCGTTGTTGTCTCAAACACTTCTTGCTGGCTGGAGGTTTCATCAAAGATACGATCGAAAGCAAACCTCAGGTCTTTGTGTTTCTTGGAGAGGAAAGGTCGTCTCTTCCTGGCTCCGCCTCCTGCCCCGCCTCTCTCCTCAAACTGGGGCATGTTGTCCTGCTTCGGGTCAAACACAAGGACGTGTTCGTCCAGTTGACGTATAATGGTCTCACAGTTGCTCCTTATCTCTGATTCATTCTCTGGCCTCACTCTCACGATGACTCTCATGTTAGTGTTTCCAGTGTCAGTTATTTCATATTCTTTCTCTTCTGATCCTTTCCTTTCTTTATCCACCCCGTTACTGCCTCCTTCCCGAGCAATCCCTCCATCAGTTGAATCCTCCACTAGAGAGAGAGGCCTTCTCTTAAACATGGCGGCTAGAGAAGATGGCAACATAATAAAATATATATTTTTACAATTATTAAGTCTACTGCCCCCACTCTCTCTCTTTTATCTCGGGCCCTCTTCCTTTGTCAGACAGAGGACAGGATGGAGTCCTTACCTGGAAACAATCCTCAAAGAGAAAGTGCTGATCAAACTATTCCTCGGACAAACTGACGACAAGGTTTTAATGATGATACTTGATATTGCAATGTCAATGTACAAAATTGTGTGACCGGCAGATTCAAATTTTCTAATTTTGATTGCCAAATTTAAAATAGAGCAATCTGATTGGTCAGTTTGGCAATTTAGCCACACCTACAATGTGTGGGCGTTAACTAAATCCATAGTTACGGTTACTTAGCAACCAAGCAACAAGATCTTGCAAGCACTGACTACAAGAGGATACAAGATGGCAAGCTACAAGCTGCCAATGTCCACCATTAGTCCAACGGACAAGAGGAACGATCTCCACTTGACCAGCACTGGCATAGGACATACATACCGCCAAGAACCAGCAGCAAAAACTAGAAAAGTAGAATAGATATTAAATTATTGACAATGTCAAGCATTCTTTTTGCTTTAGAGCTATCTATTAGAGCCACTTCCTGCAAAATATTCTCATCCTCATCCTCTATTTGCTGCTACTAGCATTGAGAGCACATACTCGCCTACAACAGCTACTGAGCATTGCTATAAACCAATCGATTACATTGAACAAAAGGACAGCATTTACAAAAGATCTCCGACACTCCATAAGATAAACTACTTACTGCATGTAAAAGACAAGGTACATCCATAAATTATTATAATTATTATTAAAAAGTTGCACACATGCAAGTCAGTGAATGTCACACTCTGCTATTTTAGAAGAACTTGAACAGACCAGGCTGCAGCAGTCAGCCATAATTATACCGTATAGAGAAATGTTTAAAAAGTCACAAAACATGTTCACACTTTGATCTAATGAGCACTGATTCAGCTCAGTTGACAAATCTGAAAGTGTGAACACAGCCTTGAGCTGTAAATTGCTGCAATGTCAGATCAACAGTCTAAAGTGCTGCCATTAAAAGGCTGACATAGTTTCATGATCTAACCAATAGTCACTGTGTTAACTTCATCCACTTCCTCATCTTTAGCTAAATGAAAAGAGTTGGAGGAGACCACTGACTATGAGTCAACAGAGAAGCGAAATGAAAGACAATTATCAAGGAAAGAAGGATGACATCATAAGACGAACTGACCAATCAGATCCGATTGAAACGATACTAGCTGATCACCATAGCAATGGGCCAACAAAAGTAACAACAAAAACATTAATTATAAATGATATAGCACTTCCCCTCCTCTCTCTCTCTCTCCAGACAATAAATCCAACAGATACAAACAGACAATTGCAAGGACAGCCATTCAATGCCCTTGATCAAGCTATCCTTCATGTTCACCAACCATACTTGACTACTAACCACTGGTACCACAGGAGGTTTGGTAAAAGGGAGCTACAGAGCTATCCAAAGAAAGACATAGCCACTTACTGGTCCACTGAAGGATACCCACAAGCTTGGGGACATGGACCAGCCATCAATCCATTGCCTAAGCTACCACACAGTGAAAGGACAGATAGACAAGGAACTAGTAGATTAACCTTTAGCCAAACCAGAAGACAACCAGTACTTGTATCAAAGTGAGCCCAACTACATAAGAGAGGATTGGTAGTATTTAATTTATTATCTAGTGGATTGAAGACACAGTACTCCTCACAATTTACTGATCATTCTAAGAGGAACCCATTCCAAACATTAGTACCACCAACCTTTGCATCAACAGGTACATATACACACAGTAAAGACATATCCACCATTATGTATATGTACAATAAAACCATTTCCCCACTATTCTCTCATTCTCATTATTATCTGGTCATTATACAGTTATTGACACTGATCTGCTGGATACAGTTCCCAACATGTACAAGACTACTAACCAGATCTATGGACACAGGGATCCACTCCATATCTAGTTGAAGAAATCATTGTATTTAATAATAATAATAATAATAATTATTATTATTATTATTATTGATTTTTAAAGTAACTTATGATAGTAGAAATGTCTTGAGTGTTGTACAATAAACCTTGTATTAATCTTCTCTTATCTTCATCTGTAGTATATTATTTGAATTATTACTATTATTAAATTTTATTTATTTAACCTGACATTGACTGCAATGTTCTGCCAATTTCTTCAGGAACAATGGCCTATAATAACACAGGCATAATTCACTCACACAAAAATAATCAAAATTAAACTGTTCTACCATCAGGAGGTAAGTTTAAGCTTCAAAACTCAATGATTTTAGAGGATACTTTAAGTACTTACTTTTCTTGACAGTTGAAGTGTCAAATTGGAAGGTGGAATGGATGACAGAGTTATGTTGTGATAAACATAAATTTTATTAAAAAATGTCGAGTAAATAAGAACTGGTTTATTATGCTCAGAAGTAAAACCAAACATACCTAATGATAATAATAACTGTTTTATGTTTAAATTTTCAATGCTTACCAGCACAAAATGCACAGACATTATCTTCAAACTTATACCTAACTACGTTACGCGAGTGATCAAGAATATAAGTGACACCATTCCATGAACAAACAATAATCTCATCTTGACCGTCATTCTGAGGAGAGAGAGAGGGAGAGAGAGAGGGAGATAAAAAAGAAATAATAAAGTTCAATTTTTAAATGTTTACACTAACAGTGACATCCAGTTTAGAGATAGCAAATAAATTATGATCAACCTGATGCTCCCAAATCTTCTTTTCATCTTTCATAAAACGTATACAACCTAAAAACAACAACAACAATAATAAAAACAACAACAATAATAATAAAAACAACAACAACAACAAATAACACTTACCCCCAAGGGTACACAATGCAACTATATTTGAGTGCTTTTGCTCTTCATCAAACAGATCAGATTTTGACGTCAAATCCCCAACTGCTTCAGTAACGGATGATGGACTATTCCTTTGAGCTATACCAACAATACCATTCACATGAAGCCGGTATCTTGATAAAAGGGACTCTGAGCCTTTGAAAGAGGACCGACTGCTATTTCTACGTATTTTAGTTTCCAAGACATCACCAGTGGAGGAGTGTCTAGAAACTTTTGGTGTTTTATTTTGTTTAAGACTGACGGAGTCACTTGCCCTCCTCTTCTCCTCCGGCTCATTCTCTAAACTCATGTTAATGTAGTTCTCCTTGTCTCCTCTGCCAGTGTCGCTGGAGTCTTGAATATCTTTAGTAGAATTATCTGATAACATTGAAGAGGAGGATATGGAGGGGAAGAGGTCCTCAACATTCTCTACATATTCCAGGGGAACGTAAGTACCGCCCACTTGAGACACAAGGAGTTGACTCCGCCCATCTGATGTCATGGTAACAGATAATGAACCAATCTATGAGGATATTATAATAATATCCATTTTCCTCCCTCCCTCTCTCTCTCCTGACTTGTCTTTCCAGTGTTAATCTGTGACGTAACTCCAACCTGTTAAAGTCGTTAGTCCAGCGGTAGACTCCAATATATCGGTCAGTGTGACCAACAAACAGTTCTTCCTTATTGTCAGGAGCTAGCATAACAGTACAATATAATAATAATAATAATAATAATAATAATAATAATAATAATAAACTGACCTATGCTGGCGATGATCATCACTTTAATATTAGGAGGCAGTTCCTGCGTGTGTACTGGCTCCACTGCACTACCTGTCCTTGACTTTGACTAATAATAATAATAATATTATTATTATTAATTAATTAATTAATTAATGCTTACTGAACGATATAAGCTGAATATATAGCACATCCCCATTGCATTGATGCATATTAATTGAACCTATTAATAATAATAACTAATCAATCAATTATTATTAATGAATATTACCTTCCCTGTATTAAATAGATCACCAGTAGTGACACACGTTATCTGATAATATTAATGAATTAATAATTAATCAAATGGTTTATTTCTTACAGATCCTAATCCTGTTGCACTACGCCAGGGTTTTCCTGAAGTATTTCCTTTAAAAACTGACAACTGTCCTTCGACATTACCAATGATAAACTCATTGAGCTAACAGAAGAGATTTATAACATGATGTTATTAAAATGATGCAAAAAATAAATAAATTACTCCATCTCCGTCCACATCTCCTAAAGTTAGAGCATGTGAGAAGTGATTTCCAGTAAATTCTAATTCCAGTCTATCAACAAATGATACAGAACGAGAATTCATCACAAAAATTAATCAAGTATACAAAGGGTTAAAATTGGCCACACCTCCTTCCTAAAAATCATGAATTTTAATTATTGAAAAATATTTATAAAAGAGAAAGATGAGATAATTAAATAATAATTAAGCTATCTGAGTTTGTTGCTGCTGTTTAGTTTGCTCCGTCTTCTTCTTGGAGCCAATGTAAGCATCTATTGACAGGCCAATGAAGACTAGGGCCACAGCAACCCATTGCCTTTGAAGCAAAGTGTTCCCAAACAACAGAACTGACATTAGTATTGTGAAGAATTTACGAGTGGTGGTAAAGACAGCACATGTTAGTGGACCATATGTTGTTATTGTTATGAATATGAATAACTGGCCAATAGCACTAGCAAGGCTGAATGCTATTAGGTTTAGAGTCACCTCAGGATGACGACCTATGAAGTATAGAGCAGTGAGTCCTTCCCCTGTGACTAGTAGCCCTAACAATGAGAGGAGAGTTTAATATTGTACAGTTGGACTGTAATAATTATCATAATATATGCACTAGGATGCCATTTTTGATAAAACATCCTGTACTATAGTACAGAGACTTTTGTCCTATTTTTCAACAACTTCAAAAATTCATAAAAATCAAACTTTGATTGGAATCAGCTCAAACTTTCTACACAACATAAGTACATGTATATGTATAAAACATTACATCAGTATACTTACCTGTGATTAGGTAAACAGGAGCAATACAGTTAACGCCAAACATCAACTGTAATGCCGAGACATTATGAGAAGCCTTTAATCTTTCTTGAAGAACCCCAGTGACCCCATCCAATGACAATGATATAAACTAACAAACAACAAACAAATAAATAAATAAACAAACAACAACTTACAACTAGCAATTCTCCTATTCCAAGAATATTAAACAATTTAGTATTGGTACTATTATTATTATTATTAGTGGGTGTGTCTTTATAAAGGAACAGTCCGACTCCACAGACGATCATTAATATACATAAATATTTAATTAATGGATACTTCTTTTTATTAATTAGAACACCTAGCACCATTACAGGGATCGGCTTAGCTGATTTCCCCAAAACCTAAAAGATTTTAAAATTATAAAGTAACTAATGATTGGCCACTCCACCTGTGTAGGGTACGTAATGTAGGCCAGTGCACTGTTACTGGTCACCATTGCTCCAACGTAACTGAGCGAGAGGACACTGTACATGGGCAATGGTTTGAGTGAGAGAGACTCCTTCTTATACCAGGAAGCTGTGAGTAAAGAATAACAATAATAATAATAATCATAATAATAATAATTATTATTATTACATACCTCCTTTAGCTACAGCAGCATTAATGATGCATTGAAATGAAACCAAAAACATAAAAAACCGAAACTTCTCACCACCAAAATCTCTCTTAGTACTACAAAATAATAATAATAATAATAATAATAATAGAAATAATAATAATAATAATAATACTGATTTATTTATGACAAAATCTACTAAAACTAATATTAAGATAATAACAATGGATATTATGTACACAGTGTAGTACTACAGCTGGTCTTACATTCTCTCTTGTAAGATTCCATACACAAAATAAGAGCAGAATATTCCCAAGAAACATCCAATCAATAAGAAGGGGGAGTTGTTGCTGCCAGTTGGTGTGCGGGTCTTATTACTAGTAGAAGGAGGCTCTGCCATTTTCTTCTTTTTACTAGACACTACTCCATTACTTGGTACAAGGACTTTCTTTGTTCTTTGTCTTGTAGACATCACACACTTGAAACAAGTGAAGCAGCAAAAGAGATATTTACATCAAATTGACACACCACAAAATTCCCTCCCTTACAAAAGCAGGGTATGACTGTGACCAATCAAATTGAAGTATGCACGTGTAACAACATAACCATTAATAAAATTCTTTAAATTCTTCTTCTTTAAAATTATCAATAATTATTGTCTATCATAAGAAGATCGGGTTGCCATATCAACAGTACTGAACAATCACTGGCTATCTTGAGCTCTAGAAATAGGAGAGAGAAAGTCGGATCGAGTATTAAATAAAATGATGAAAGGATAGTACAAACTTTAGCTTAGTCCTCAGTTCTTTCAGCTGCTCGTTCTTTGATTCTAGAAGTTTCTTTAAAGTTTGAAACTGGTTGGTTTGAGATATCTTCTTGTCAAGTTCTTCGTTGGCCCTTTTCAATTCCTCACTTACCCGCAGCAACTCTTCCTGTTAATAACCATTATTAATAACTAGCAATAACTATTAATAACTTACATTCGTAGTTGATAGTTTTTCTTGAAGTTCTGACGAGTGCTGATGAGTAACAGAGTATTGAACTTGAAGAGCAGCAAATGCTTCTTGTAACGCAAGGACCTCTTCATCTTTAGAGGAGGAGGAGTTCGTATTTGATGATGATACTTGCAGCTTGGATTTTATTTTATCCTTCTCTTCAAGAAAAGAAGTAGCCTAGATAATATGAACAAAGAAACAATGATCACATGTATATTATAAGCAATAAATATACGGTAGAGTACCTTCTTTTCAAGGAACTGTATCCTTTCACGTAACTTGTTATTCTCAGCAGTCAAACGATCAATTTCCTAAACCACAGCAGTAATCAGTGATTAATAATAATAATAATAATAATAATAATAATAATAATAATAATAATAATACTTTTTGTAGTAGAGCAGATTCTCCTGATCCTGTGAATGCAATCGGCTCCAGCTGCTTCCTCCCACTGATATTCTTCTTATTGTCTGAGGCCTGCTGTCTTTCATAAGCAGCCATTTCTTCAAGAACAACTCTAAAAGAAAATCATCATCAATCATTCATCAATTCATCATTAAATTCCTGTAATTGTAAAGTATTCTGTGATTCCAATTGACATAAATTCCAGTAAATGTGATAAAACATTAACCCTCCACCTCCTCATTTACTTGTTTTCAATTTCTGCAATCTGTGGTTGCATTCTCATGTGTACTCTCTCCGCCTGTTGAAAGAGCTGCCTCATTAAGATGGCGCTCATGTGGCTACTGTTGATCAGTTCAGCCTCTAGATCAACTTCAATGGCAGTCCATATACCACTCACCATCTCCTGAACCTATTGAGAGAGAGAGAGGGGGGGAGGGAGGGGAGGGTCAGTGTACATATCACAGTGATCTGCTAAATACTTCAGTGCTGGTAAAAGTGTTGTCCTCCATTAGTCTGGCCTCTGTCAATGATTCAAATGATGACTCAACTGAGCGGATACAGTCTCTTCTCTTCCCGCGCATAAACTCCAAATATTCTTGAATATACTTCTCGTGGTGTGTTAGACCCAATGTAATAGACTATACAATACAAATAATAATAGGAAAAAAAAAACAAAAACTTACCATCTTTTTGCTTGTAATTTTTTCAAAGTGTATCACCACGCCTACTTTTAATATTCATGAATAATTATAAGAAGGTGTGGTCAATATGCTAATGAATAATTAATTAGCTAAAAAATACTGTCATAATGCTTATTAATGTTATTATTATCCACATAGCTCCACCTCCTACTCCGCCCACTCCACTAGTGCCTAGGAGCGGGTATAAGAAATCGTTAGGTAGTTTAGTTCTATCAGTAATGGATGCAGTTTTCAACACAGTCTCAGGAACTGTGTAGACAGGAATGAAACTGACACTGGAATATAACGATACTTTATTGGAACAATGAGCTCCAAAACACTACAAGAAAATAATAATAATAATTATTATTATTATTAATTAGCATATACCGTTGATGTGATGTCTTGTGTTATGTATTCGACTTTTCCGCCGGTAATTAAAGCAGTGGGCGTGTCAATGCTTCCCTCAAACGAATAAAATAAATAATAATGAATACCAGTAATGACAGACGAGCACTAAATAAATAAAATAATAATTAATTGATTGATTTAGTAAGTTACATCAGTGGATGGAGGGAGGTCGGAGTAGCCAAGCAGCTGTACCCATTCAGTCCCATTGTTCGGATCAGAGTCTCCATAGACACCAATCATCATGTTAGTACTGGCTCCACCCACTGCCACGCCTCTCAATAAATTAAGAGTTTGAGTGGACACATTGGTACAACCATCAGTAATCGAACTTGAAGATAGCCTAATGAACACATAATGTGATAGTTCAGTAATTAAACAGATACCTGAAGACACAAGACGTCTTGATACTATCCCGAAAAGTGACACTTTCTCTAACTTCATTAGTACATTCTCCTCCTCCTCCTCCTCCCCTAGCTAGGGTCAACCAGCTGCTGGCATGAAGAGGTAGAGTTACTGTACCACCAACCAACTGTCCCATTAGAACTGGAGCCCCATCAATATATCCTGGAGCCCCTGACCTCTTTAGTATGTAATCGGAAACATTAGCAGCTGCTGATATGAACCTCACAGAATACTCTTGATAGACAGTACTACCAGCTGGGACACCATCCTGTACTGTAATGCTAATATTAACAAGTGTGACCCCCTGGGTTCCATTGTGAAATATCACATACTCCAGACCCCTCAGCACATTGCTGCAGTGAGAGCCATTATAATAGGGACGTGAGCATGATACTGATTGACTGTTAACGTCTTTACATGATATGATCTGATTAGCTGTTGATTCTGATCCAGAAATCACTAATATTGATATATTATCGTAATAGCTGACAGGATCAAGATATGATCCATTAACGCAATCTGATCCAGTTTGAGATAACACGCGTGAACAGACTGATCTCTGATCAATGAGATAAGTGATTGGGTTCCCGTCATGACACAGGTCTCCGTTAAGAGGAGAGGGTAAAGTTAAATACCCTCTACTGCTGGTACTCAATAAATCGCCTGATTCATATTGGCCAGGGTTACTGGGAGGGTACAATGGTATGTATGTAGGTACAGTGGTCAACCGGTCACCAGTTCTTTGAAACAAGGATAACTGAGTATTAAAATCGTTTATATCATTAATAAGAGTTGATGGGGTGAACATTAATCTGCCAGGATAATTATCAGTGTATATGCAGAAGAGATCTGACCCACTTGTACTTAGTAATGACGTACGAAATAAAACCGACACTGGCAGACAACGACTTATGGAGGTCCTACATGTGAAGCAAAGGAACATGTATCAATGTATTCAAACACTGACTCAGTTTGAATGTTGCTGCAGCTGGTAAAAGATGATATATCGTCAGTGGTACAATCAGTGTCACAGCAACAATAGACATCACATAATGAAACTGTAATATCACAGGAACAGTCACTGACTGAGAGAGAGAGAGAGAAAGTTTAAAATATAATGTATTGTGTACTTTTACCTGAGCTGAATTCATCAATTAAATTGAAATCATTAATCGTTGGCACTGAATTTGTTGGAGTCGGGGAACTATAAAAATAAATAAAATAAATAAAATAAGTAAATAAATAAATAAACTCACGCATTGATAACAGTGACTGAAGGATTGCTGGTACTAACACTAGTAGTAGAGATACTAGTAGAGGAGGAGCGAGTAGAGGAGGAGGAGAAATAGAAGACAGAGGAGGTAAGGGTGGGTAAAAGAAGAACACTAGATTCATCATCACCAGAACCAGGGAACACTGATGAAGTATTCTGAGATCTACAAGAAATAAACAAGACAATTGTAAAATAAAGAGAGCCAAGAACCGCCATTTTGAGCACTCTAATTAAAGAGCAGCACTTGTAGCTCCACCCACTTTATCAACAAACAAGATGGCGTTGAACAAGTTGCACGTTTTGAGTGGAATCAGTACTCGCAGGGCTCTCCCTCTGTTATCTGCTCGCTGGTACAGCGATGAGGTACTAATAATCATTTTAAATAACACACTTAATCTGTTCTTATCAATCGTAGGGAGCCATTAGGTGAGAAACACACACACGTGTACTTATAGACACATAATTATGTTCATGCACGTTGTAGAGATGCTGGAGGTGCATTTAGCAAGAAAGAGAAAGCAATAGAAGATCAATACTTCAGACGCTTAGTATGTATAATGATAATAATGCACACACAGCAGTAGTGGGAGTGGACATTAATTGGTGGTTCCATCTGATTGCTGTTCTCTTGTAGGAACAAGAGCAGCTGCAAAAGCTGAAGGACCATGCAAACGAACATCACAAAGAAGAAATTGATGCACACACCCAGTCCATCAAAGAGCTAGAGGTAAATATGCCAGCCATTGTGTAATTAATTGATTATTATAATCTCCTCCTCCTCCTTCCAGGAGCAGATCAAGAGGCACAAGGAGAAGATTGAGCGACACAAGAAGAAGATGGAGGATCATTAATAGCCATTAGAGCATAACCTGTGACCATAATAATAATCATTAATTATTAATTATTATTGTTGTTAGTTATTAATAATAGTTCAGTAGTTGTGTCAATTGTTAAATCTCTACCAGATTGGTGGGCCGAATCTTTGAAGTATTTTATCCTGTGCATCTAAGTCTTTCCTAACTTTAACTCTCATGTAGAATATGGGGCAATCACGACTAGAAGAGAGAGAGAGGGAGAGGGTGATAATGTATAAATCAAGAGCAGTTACCTGGTACATATAACGTCTTCATGAAGGCTCCCTTGGCAACGCTGGCATTGGGTCCAAAGCTGAGAAAACTTCTCTTCTAACTGGGAGAGCTGGACCATTTCTTTTTGATATAATCCTGACAATAATGGCTGGCAATGTGGACACACTACACCATCTGGAGGAGAGAGTTATTAAAGTCTATTTTTAGCTACTTGTACTAAAATTAGTAACTGATAATGTATTCAATATGACATCATACCGTTATTGTCTAGAACAGATTTACATCCGATACAGGTGCTACGTTTTGTCGTGAACCCAAACAACCCTCCCTGAGCTGATGAGGTCTTTACTGTCCTAGACCGAGTGTGATCACCCTCTACTGGACGTAAAGAGGTGTGACTAATAGGTGTGGCTTACTGAGCAATTCAGAATGAGCTTTGCTGTCTCCCAATATCGGCTCAAATATTCTCAGTAGTGGTTTGGCCAGCTGGTTCTCAAGGTAGTACTCGGTATCAATGGGGACGTTGTTCTCTAGTACATAAATAGGATCCTCTGCCTTCTTATAGGCAGGTGTTCCTTTAGCACTGGCGATAATAACATAGGGTACCCTGTCGCCTAGATTAGGGGCGGAGCCAGCGTCTCTCTTACGCATTCTAGACGTGGAAATAAACTAATAATATAATATTAATATCTTTACTTTTCTGCTAGCTCCACATGAGCTAGTTTATTGACGTATTCTTTGCTTGTGCTAGTTCTAGTCAGTTCTTTAGATATTACCAGCTGTGAGATGTCAATACGGTTACACAAGAGATCAGATATAGTTCCCTTAGCATATTCAAGAGCTTCAAAAGGTGCTCTGAAATAAATAAATAAATAAAATAAATTAATAAATTAATTAAATAAAACAAATAAATAAATGAATACCTCTCTATCAATATTTTATGTAAACATGTGTTCAATAGGTTGGCAACAAGAGGACAATTGTCTCGTCTGACCTTCAAAGAATAATCATAATTAATATTGCCACTCCCCCCCCTCTCTCTCTCTCTTACTGTTTCCAATCCTTTGCAGTCCATTTTGTCATAATTCTCAGGAGAAGAGAAACACAAACCAGCATAACGCTTCTTATTAATTAATAAATAAGGATAATAAACCTATTAATAATAATAATAATAATAATAAAAATAAGGATAGTAAACCTATTAATAATAATAATAATAATAATAATAATAATAATAATAATAATAAATGTGTACAGTGTACATGAAGTCTCTACTTCTACCCCCAATTTTTATTACATTTTCTGATACATATTGATGTACTTATACTGTGTAGAAAGTTTGAGCTGATTCCGACTTTAATTTTTCAAGTTATGGCCATTTTAAGAAAACGTCAAAATTCTGAAAAAATCCCTGTACTATAGCCCATGGTTTTTTCAAAAAATGGCTCCGAAATCACCTCCAATTTTTATTACATTTTCTGATACATATTGATGCCCTTATGCTATGTAGAAAGTTTGAGCTGATTCCGACTTTAATTTTTCAAGTTATGGCCATTTTAAGAAAACGTCAAAATTCTGAAAAAATCCCTGTACTATAGCCCATGGTTTTTTCAAAAAATGGCTCCGAAATCACCCACAATTTTTATTACATTTTCTGATACATATTGATGCCCTTATGCTGTGTAGAAAGTTTGAGCTGATTCCGACTTCAATTTTTCAAGTTATGGCCATTTTAAGAAAACGTCAAAATTCTGAATGTGCATGTACATGTACTTAAGTTTAAGTGCTGATATTGTTGTATTTATTATTATATTCTATCCATACAGCACTGGTGGTTCTCCGCAGCAGTTTCTTGTTAAAATCCCTATCATGTTGCACAAGTTTTCAGAGAAGGTCACTATGGATAGTCCGACCTTCTTTTCACGTTGGAAGCAGCTGGCAAAGTAAGAGAAGAAACATCAATTCATTAACTTTCTTCCTCCTCCTCCTCCTTTAGTCCTGCCCAAGAAAGTCAAAAAATATTCACTGCCACACAACCGATGGACAAAGAAACAGCCTCTACTAAAGTAACTAAATTGAATATTATTCATCCTCTCACTCTCCCTCTCTCTCTCTCTCTCTCTCTCTCTCTCCCTCCAGCTGACTGGATTTGGTTTCTCAGTGCTAGAGGGAATTGATCCTAATCCTGATAATTTTGTGAGTGCCTGTATTGTGAAGACGAAGAAGGTTTTGGTCGGTTGCTTGCTACGTCTTGAGCCAAACCATCAGACAAAAGTATGACATCATCATTAGACACACCCACGAATTAAGGAGCAATTATATTTTGTGAATTAATTTAAATCTTTCTCTAGCAATATCGCCTGACCTTGAGGACCAGTCATGAGTCGGTGTCAAGGAATTTCAATGAATTGATTTCTGAGCTATTCTAGGATGATATTATTATTTATAAACTGCTTCCATTATTAAAACACATTCTCCCTCTCTCTCAGTCTCTAATCTCCTCCTCTCTTGCAGTTATTAATATTAATTAACTGTTAGGTTGCCACACCCATTTAATTATTATTATTATTAGTTTCTTATAGATTTGCTTCTTGTCCTATTAAAAACATTGCTGAACTATTATTATTATTATTATTATTATTATTATTATTATTATTATTAATATAATACATAAATGAATGCAATGACAATACAACACAAGAGAGGGACAGTGGGTGTGGTTTATACTGATCTTGATAATGGCTTCCCACTGATCACTTGTTTAATTTCTTCTAAATCTAAAGTCTCATACTTCAATAAACCTTCCGCTAGTCTTTTGTGTTCTGTAGCATGAGTCTTTAGCAGCTGGTAAGCTCTGTCATGACTCTCCTGATAGTAATGATTATAATCATGTCCCTCCCTCCCTCTCTCTCTCTCTTCCTCACTTTTAACAATCTTTTAATTTCATCTTCAATTATCTTTTGTGTTGTTGAGCTAATCTTGTCCTTATTTTGATGAAACACTGGACCAACCTAACAAAA